TGGGTGTGTGTGGGGGGGTGTGTGTGTGTGTGTGTGTGTGTGTGTGTTTGGGGAGGGGGGGGTGTATTTCTGCCTGCTGACGGGAGGCCAGAAGTAGAGTAAGAATAATAAACATCGGTTCAGGCAGACCCACCCTTTCTGCCAAAGCGTATACCCTGGAGAATGGAGGGCTAAGATTGGGTGGAGCAATCCTTAACTTTCTTTCTTCTTGGCTTGAAAATGGATTATGAAATTTAAAACCACTGACAACATAAATGCTTATAATTGTTTTCTTTTTCTTTTCTCTTTCTTTTTGAGTCAATTGACTTCTCAAGTGCCTGTATCTGGGCCCAGTGTGGATGTCTGAGGGCAGGTGCAGTGGGGTTTAATTGACCTTAGTGATCACAAGCACTTAATGAGTACCTGCAGCTAGCTATCAGAGGCCCTGCCTGCAGCTAGCTGGCATTCATTCTTCTCCTTGGGTTTAGTCCTTACCTCAGTGTGACCCTGGGCAAGTCACTTCTGGGCTTTTGGCATCAGTTTTCCTCATCTGTAAAATAGGGACAGCATGGTTTGAAATCCTAAGATTTGGGAGAAGAAATAGTGCTGGCATTGGGAATGTGGCAGCCACATTGCTTGTTATCACTGGGCTTCCAGCTTCAGTGACTTTTCTCCTGAGAGTTTACATTTCCCCTTGACTTACTGCTTGTCAGTAGCAGTTGGGCTCAGGTAGTCTGAATGACTTCCAAGTCATTTTGTTGCTTGTGACCGTCTAAGGCTTTATGCAATAGAACTGTGACAAAGAACACCTTCCTGGCATCAGCTGGGTGCCCTCCTGGATTTCTAGGCCGTTGGGTGAGTCCATGCAGTTCACCAAAGGTTAAAGAAAGGCGTGTTGTGTCAGAAGAGGAGGAAAGGAAGGTGGGGGCGAAGGGGGAGAAAATGTGTTTGCTGTAATTGTTTACTTATTAATTAGGTGGTGGCTTTATTTAATACCTGAAGTCTCTAGCCCCAGAAAGGGACAGGTTATGGTATTCACTAGACTAGAAAACGATAAAAATTGCCTGGTGAGAGGCAGCCACTGATTAAGATTATAAACACACACTACTTTGAAGGGAAAGAAGAGGATTCATGTCAACACAGAGTTGAAAGGGACATTGTAGTCCTGTAGTCTAACTCCCTATAAAATGCTATAATCTTGTCTATAATGCTCTTTAACAAAAAAAAAAAACCAAAACGTTCAGTCTCTGCTTGAACTCCCCTAGTGACAGAGAACTCACTATCTTGCAAAGCAGTTTATTTCATTTTTGAGGCCTTCTCATTGTTAGAAAGTTTCTAAGTAAAGCCCTTTTTTGACATTCTAGGTGTTGTATGCTCTCTCAACCTCTCTCCTCCTCCTCTCTCTTCCTCCCCCCTCTCTCTGTCCTTTCCTCCCTCTCCCCTTCTTTCCTGAAACTTGCCAGATCATGTAACCCCAAAATCTATAGATGTGGTTAGAAGAGGCTTAAGAAAAGAATGTGGCCAGATGGGCCAACTTGCTAAAGCCTTTGTCCTTTATGGAGTTTGGATGCGGAAAATAGTGAAGGTAGGAAATGTATTCCAGCCATGAAACCACCCTCCATTTTCTCCTGTCAGCTGGAATGGATGTTAAACACCTGCTCTAGATAGAAGCTAAAGCAAGATGCTTGTCTTATCCAGACCACAGAACTGTTTGTCTTCCCTCTCTGCCCTTCCTTAAAACTCTCCAAGCCAGGCAGCTTTAACATATATATATATATGTGTGTATATATATATATGTATGTATATATGTGTATATATGTATATATATATGTCAATACTAATAGCAGTCTATCTTTGTCTTTTAATGATAAGTTTTGTTTTAATATCACCTTCATTTTTGGATATATCCCTTCTTACTCCCCTAACATCCTTTTTGAAAATTTAATTAATTTTTTTCTATTATCAAACTTTTTTTTTCTCCTTCCCCCTTCTCCAGAAAAAAGAAAAACAAAATCCTTGTAATAATTGAGCATAGTCAAGCAAAACAAATCCCCATATTGACCATGTCCAAAATGTGTGTCTCATTTTCCATATTAATCCATCACTGGTCCTCTGGAATCATGGTTGATCATTACTGTGATCACAGTTAAGTCTTTCAAAATTTTTCAACCCCTTACTGTCCTTTGTAACAAAGCCACGTCTTGCAACAAAGGTAAAAAGGGGGGGGAGAGAGAGAGATTTATCAAGTCTAACCAACACATCTATCACATCAGACAGCACGTGTAATCTCTATACGTTTCCCCCCTTCCCCAGAGAAGGGAGCAAGGTGAATTTTCTCAACTCTTCTTGAGTCCAAGCTTGGTTATTTTAATTATACAGCATTCGGGTTTTTTTTTTGTTTGTTCTTTCCATTCATGTTATTGTCATTGTATATATCATTTTTCCTGACTCAGTATCAGTTCATGTTAATCTTCCCATACTTCTCTGAATATTCTATATAGTCTGCATAGTAATATTCTATTATGTTCATAGACCACAATTTGTTTAGTATTCCCTGATCAGTGGGCATTTACTTTGTTATTGGTTCTTTGCTACCTCAGAGAAGGCTGCTGTGAATATTTTGGTATATGCAAAACACTTTTTTCTGGCTTTGATTTCCTTGGGGTAGAATAAATTATGGTACTTTTTGGATTCAGAACTTTGATTTTATTGGTATATTAAATGTTCTGTGAGGGAACTCCCTGTATCGATGCAAATCAACATCTTTTTACCAACTTATTGTCTTAGAGATTTCCTAGGGCCATTGAATGGTTTAGTGCCAGGATGGGGAACCTTCATCGTTGAGGCCACATGTGGCCCTCTAGGTTCTCAAGTGCAGTCTTTTGACTGAATCCGTCCAAGGGCCGAACTTGAGGACCTAGAGGGCTACATGTGGCCTTGAGGCTGTAATGTTCCCCACCCCTGGTTTAGTGACTTGCCCAGGGTCACATGTACAATGATAGATGTAATACAAGGTAGCCTAGGATTGCACAGCTAGTAAGTGGAAGAGTCAGGATTTGAACCCAGGACATGGAATTAGCCAAAGTTTTTCTACTCTTCCCCTTCAAAAAGTTGAATTCAATTCAGCAAACATTTATTAAGCTTCTATTAAAACTGTATATAAATATATAAAAATATATTTATATAAACATATATAAACATATAAATAAATATATAAAATTTATATAAATATATAAAGTATATAAATATATTTATATAAATATAATATAATATATAAATATATAAATATATTTATAATGTTAAATAAAATAAACAAAAAATAAAACTAGATAAATATTTATATATTATTCACAATTGTATTATAATATAATTATATATTATATTATAATATAATAATATATTAAATATTAAATTTATATTCTATAAAAACAAAAGTTTCTACCCTCAAACATCTGTATATTTTACTGGATGGCAGATAGTCCAATTTGTATAAGAGAAGGCAGTAAAATTCCAGGGTGGGCACCTTATTCCTGGAGGCTTCTTTTCTCCCCCTCACCTTCCCCCACCATGGAACAATCTTTTCAATGTGTGTGTGTGTGTGTGTGTGTGTGTGTGTGAGAGCGAGCGTGCACGTGCACTCGAGTGCACCCATTTTGGCATTTGGTATCTGGCACTGAAAATCACAATTGCTAAAGGTTTTTATGAAATCAGCCATGGAGCTGGAATGGGCAAGTATTCCGAGGAGCCAATAGAACTTGGCACATGGACATTGGTAAAACCAGGCAGCTGTCTTTCTTTCAATCCTGAACCTTAGGGAAATTTTATTTCTACATCTCTTCCCTGATGGAGGCTGATTTTTATGTAACCTGTAGATGAAGTTTCACTCCTCGCAGAGTGTAAGCCTCTCTATGGTGATTTGCTCCCTGTGTTCTATTCCTGATGGCTATTAATTTGCTGTATGGCCTTGGGCAAGTTGTTTCTTTTCTGGGCCTCAGTCTTCAAATCTGTACAAATGAAAGGGTTAGACTAAATTACCT